ACAAACTACAACTATCCTTTCTATGCAAACTACTACATCAACCTGATTACAAAGTTCCCAAAGCACACCATTATCACATAAGAGAATATAGGTAGAAAAGTGAATAATAGGAATATTATTAAGAAAAATAGGTAGAATAAATTTTGTGATTTAACTATATTGCATATAAGGGTCTCAGAATTTACAAAATTGATTCTAAAATTATAAGGATTAAAAGAATTAGAGTGACCGCAATATAAGGTATGTAATCGATTATTTCAAAGTTAAACATACCAGAGATTCTAAAATTATAAGGATTAAAAGAATTAGAGTAACCGCAATATAAAGTATGTAATCGATTATTTCAAAGTTAAACATACCAGAAAGTCGTAAGCAATTCAATTTATTTTTTTTGTCTCTTCGATCTAGATGTTTTAATAGGTGGAGTAATAGCTCTTTTTTTACCTTTTTTATTTATTTTTCCTCTTCTTTCTCATCCTCTTCATCCTCTTCATCCTCTTCTTTATCTTCGTCCTCTTCTTTTTCGCCCTTATCCTCATTTTCATTCTCTTCATTTTCTTCATTTTCTTCATTATCTTTATTTTCTTCTTCATTAACTTCTTTACTTATTGTCCATTCTGGAAGACCTTCAGGTGGTGATGCATTTAATATAAAAGATTTATGTTATCATTGTCATGTTGTATAAACAGGAGCCATGGTAGTGTTAAGAGCATTATGAAGTAATTCACATAACTAAATAAATAAAATTATTTTATTAATATAAATTTGAATACTGCCAAGTATATTTAAAAAACTATTTAATACAGTTAACCCTCGTTAATATCAACCTATTTGGATTAGATAATTATGTTAATATATGCGAGAGCTGATAACAATAGAATTGTTTTTATAAAGCCTGAGCCTATTTGTTCTTAATAAGAGGTTAATATTAATATAAGGCTAATATCAATATTAATAAGATTGATATTAAAGGGTTAATATTAACAAGGGTTGTTATTAACGAAGGTTGACTATAACCTTATAATAAATTTGAATATACAATTTCAATTTTACTACGACTTGCATTAAATAAAAAAATTTTTATATCTGTTCTGATCTCCATGATAGCTCATAAATATTAACATATCGCATTTTTTATCATCTAATTCATCATCAGACAATTCAGGTGAATGAACCACACTAGTTTCTAAAACTTTTTTGACTTCAGCTAAATCATAAGACATAACATGGGAATCTCTTTTTAAATGAAGATATCTAAATCTTCTGCACAGCAATACATTTTCTTTAAAATATTTAGAATAAAATAAAATTATAAATAAATCAAATAAATAATTAAATTAAAAATAAATAAAATCTTTACCTCAGTTTTATGAGAGTTTTTGTGATTTCTCTCATCAAAATGGGTAGACCAAATTTCATCTTTTTGAATTGAATTGAGACTTCTTCTTAACTTTAATTTTTGCTGCAACATATCTAATTGCTCATTTTTATTAGTATTATACCATTTCCCAAAAACTTCAAGAAGAACGGGAAGTATATTTTTGCTAGTTGGGGTTTTTGTTCAGCCCATTTAGCATTATAATTGAGATTATATTTATCACCTTTCTCATCTAGTAAAAACAACATTTCTTTCTATAATAGTAAACAATATTAAAAAAAATTTTTATAATTAATTATATGTATATATATATATATATACACTATATGTTTATTAATATGAATAATATACTCGAAGTGATTTTTGTCGTTCTCTATCATCATCAGCAAATTCAGAAGTAGGTCTTTGCTGCACAGCTGCTGATGTTTCGCCAACCTCAGATTCAGCCTGACTTAAAACTTTTAATGAGCCGATTTCACTAGTTAAGGATTCTACAGAAGATAATAAATCATTAAGAGTATCTTTTA